AACTGTACTGGTAAATGTTTTAAAGAGGTACTTAAATATGCATTAATGTTCATAGTATGAACTTTGTATATTAATACTATAGTTTTATACCCTTTAAATAATTACATTATGAAACTTTTATTATGTTAATAATGAGCAATAGGCACCTTATAGAGAAATCATTATTTAAATAAAATCAAAGCCAGATATTACCAAGTATCAATCTTTTCAGCATTTTATCAGAGAAGAATTAAGTCCCACAAATTTTCCAAACACTGTATCATTTAACCCAAGCTGGCAAAGGAGAATACGCTTTTAATTTTCCCTTAAAGTGAAAGATTAAAAAAATAGTAGCATCTCCTTTGTCACTCTTCCTCCAGTTTCTTTGGCTATGTTGTATATTATAAACAAAACTAAGCTCCTGACAGGCTAAAATCTGGGTGACTCTAAAGCATGTAATTGTGTCTGCGGCCAAATTTATGAACTATTAGTGAAAACATAAGACACCTGAAGATTTCATTAAATTGAAATTTTTGCCCAGTTTAAGCAAATGAGTCGCAGAAAAACATTCTAAGATGATTTAAAATACCTGAAATAAACATCTTCAAAGTTTTCAGAATCATTCATTGTAGTTGGTTCCCCAAATTACAATTTCTTAAATCTACTCACTAAAATCAATTCTAGAAAGCCCTTCAAGAAGACAAGTGTGGGGGCACCTGGGTGGCTCAGTTCTTAGTGTCTGCCTTGGGCTCAGATCATGATCCCAGACTGCTGGGATCAAGCCCCATATAGGGCTCCCTGGTCAGCGGGAAGCCTGCTTCTCCCTCTCCTACTCCCCCCGCTTGTGTTCCCTCTCTCGCTGTGTCTCTGTCAAAGAAATAAAATCTGAAAAAAAAAAAAAAAAGACAAGTGTGTATATTTGAGGTAAATATTAATCTTTCTCCCAAATATTGACCTTCTCCATGTCTAAATTTGGCTAAATAACTGCAGATTAGCCACATCTGTAAATATGGTATAGAGAGGTGAAACAAATAGCTTTTACCATGTTTTCTTTTTTTGTTTTTTAAAGATTTTTTTTTGTTTGTTTTTTAAAGATTTTTATTTATTTATTCATTCATGAGAGACCGGGGAGGGGGGGCGTGCAGAGGGAGAAGCAGGCTCCCCAAGGAGCAGGAAGCCCAATGCGGGACTCGATTCCAAGACCCTGAGATCATGACCTGAGCCGAAGGCAGATGCTTAACCATCTGAGCCACCCAGGCGCCCTACCATGTTTTCTTATTCGGTAAACTGAAGGCAGGGAACCCTAAGTAAAATTCAGTAGATCAAATCATACCCAAAATCAAAATCAAAATAATGGATCACAAGTTAAAATTACATTGCTCTTATTTAATCAAAGTATTTGCTTATTTCTCAAAGTCCGTAACACAGCACTAGTAAGGCTTCTGAACAGTGAGAGTTTTTATACGAAAGCCAGGAATAAGACTGTTTGCATAAATTCTGCAAATGTAAATCCATCCGAGTGCGTGTCTGTAGATACGATTTTGCACTCTCAACAGGTGACTTTTTTAAAAATTAAAACTGGCTGCCTTCATAAGGACCTTAAAACTAAAAATTTTTCCAAGAAAAGATGGCACTTGCAGAAGTATCTTTAAACCATCACTCCTACTAGAAACACTTAGAAAGGCATGGCTAAGCTAGCGTAGATCAAAAAGGTTCCAGGAAAACTGCGCAACAGCCTGGGGGCGAGGAAAGAAACTTCTCCAACCGACTTTCGCTCGGCCCTTCCAAGAGACTCGGAACCGGGGGCCAGGACCGGCGTCTCCTGCGTGCGGGCAACAGTTGCCACGAGCAGCTCGGTTTAGAAAAAGCAATCTGCCCAGCCAATTGTCCCTTCTCCGTCGTCCCCTCCCTCCCTCCTTCCCCCAAGGCCAAGGACAGCGACGTCGTCCTCCCTCTTCTCCTCCTCTTTGGTGCCTTCAGCCAGGAGGCGGGAGTGACCCGCAACAGCTGACCCGGCAGAGGCACTGCCTCTCCCACAGCCCTCAGGACACACCATGGGCCCAGAGGCGGGTTTGCAGCACAGCAGCGTCGACGCAGGCGGCGGCCCCGGTGACTCTCAACTGCCTCCCTGACCGCCGCGACCACCGCCCAACACCCCGAAGAGCCGTCGCCAGCAACGGCAGGAGAATCTAAGGACCCCAAAACCACCTTCGCGATCGACTCAAGCTACGTCAACAACCATGGCGGGGGACGGGCGGCGGGCGGAGCCGGGGAGGGAAGGATGGAGGGAAGGATGGGGGATGTACGTCACACCCCGAGCCCCCCTACGGGAAGGAAAGGGCCGGCTCGCCCCTCAAAATGGCGGCGGCAGTGACGCGCCTGCGTACGGAACTCCTTCGCCGTCGCGCCACGGCCGGCGGGAAGTGAGGTTCTCAGAAGAGCCACCAGAAGTGTACGGCGACTTCAAGCCCCGAGTGGACAAAGAAAAGTCCCCGGCGAGAAGACGAGTCCCGCTAGAAGAGTTCCGGCCTGATTCTGCGAAAGAGGAAGTGAGGGAAAGCGCCTACTACCTTCGGTCTCGGCAGCGGAGGCAGCCGCGACTCCAGAGAGCCGAGGAGATGAACACACGAAGGACTACCCGCCTGCAGCAGCAGCAGCAGCAGCAGCAGTCACACCAGCCCCTGCTCCAGCCGTCTCCGGTTACGACCAGGAGAGGGTTACGGGACTCTCATTCCTCTGAAGGTGAGGCCGCCGGAGGTAACAGTCTCAGCGGTGAGCTGGGGAACGAGTGCAGCGCGCGGGCGCAAGCGGACTGTTGCGCGTGCCGGGCGGGCGTGCGTCCCCGCGCAGCTCATCCCCGCCTAGCTCATCCCCGCCTAGCTCATCCCCGCCTAGCTCATCCCCGCCCGGGCTCGGGTGGCTCCGCGGCGTGGATGGACTGGTGCCCCTACGCCGGGCCCGCCTCGACCCGAGGCGGGAGGGCTGGAAAGGCGGTCGGGCAGAGCGACCTGAGCGGGGAGCTCTGGGCATCGACCCAAGGGGCTCCGAATTGCCTCTTTCTGCAGGCCTTCACGGGGAGGGGGTGGCGAGTTGGGTGGGTGGCGGGACAGGGAAACACTTCAGGCTCGGTTTCACTTCGGTTTCCTCTGTCCTGCGGATGTTGCTACCAAAGCCACTTCCATTTCCTCTAACTCTCGGAGGCCAGAAGACCCCGGCTGAGAGTTATGGTTCCGATGTAACCTTCCAGTCCTTTTACATCGCCACCCAGGTCAGGGGAGAGGGAGGGGAAATTTGGTGAGTGGGCGTTTCGAGAGAGAGCTTCGTTGGTGAGTTGACTGGAGACCCCACCCAAATACTTACACTGAGGTGGGGTAAGGCAGTTATCCTGAGCTTGAGGATCCCTAATGCCTGATAAACTCGAGCTCTTTCTCAAGTATGGTGGTCTCTGTAAAACTTCGCCACGTTAGGGGCCCTCCATGTGATCTCATTGGTTAAGTAGCTCGACAAAACGAGATTCTTAATTAGTTTTCCACTAAATGGGCTGAGAGGATATTGGCAAAGCGAGTGTATAGTTTTAGGTAAGTCACAGGTGAAGCAACTCCCTTAAGCCATCCTCTCCCACCCTCCTCCTCCTCCCACATCTAACACTGAGTCACAGGTGAAGTTTCGTGTTAGCCCCATGTAAGGCACCTATGAGCTAAAAATCCGGGGGTTTTAATCACAATGGAATTACACAGTTAGTGGTAGCCCATTGATAGGTATGAAGAGGTGGATTTTCAGCTCAGAGCAGAGTAATAGGCAACGCTTGTACCTGCTGACACATGAAGTGCTGACACATTTGAAGATGCGTTGATTTTGAAAACTATGTTAAAGAGATGTAAGTTGCTGTTGGCTGTAGCTACTCAAGACAGTTTAGCCCACTTAGTTTTTTTTTTTAATTCTTATGTTAATCCCCATACATTACATCATTAGTTTTAGATGTAGTGTTCCATGATTCACTGTTTGTGCATAACACCCAGTGCTCCATGCAGAA